TTCAATGGGGGGGTGGGCAGGACGAAAAGCGGATCGCATGGGTTGCCCCCCCAGCCAGCCACCCGCCACCGCCCGCCAGCCACCCGCCACCGCCCGCCAGCCACCCGCTGAAGAACCGACTCGCTTTCGGCCCAAGCCACAGCCAGGACTCCAAGCCACCACCACCACACACTACAACTACGACCCACTTAACCCCGAACCCATACAACAATGGTACGCGCCCCTCCCCCCCTCCCCCCCTCCCCCTCCCCCTCCCCTCCCCCCCCCCCCCCTCTCCTGCCTCACCCCCGCACTCACCCCTCCTGGCCCACAGCTCTTCTACTCGTTCTTCAAGACACTGGTGGACCAGCGTGTGGTCATCGAGCTCAAGAACGGGCTGACTATCGAGGGCTCGCTCCACTCTGTCGACCAGTTCCTCAACTGCAAGCTCAACGATGTCAAGGTCGACGACGAGGCAAAGTTCCCCCATCTCGTCTCGCTCACAAACTGCTTTGTCCGTGGCTCGGTCATCCGCTACATTCAGCTGCCCAAGGACGCTGTTGATCTCGACGTTCTCGAGGATGCTACCCGGAAGGAGCTCGAAGCTGATGCGTAGAGAGCTCGAGGGTGTGCGCGAGTATGCCCGCGAGTGTGCACCCGACGATGCGCGTGAGTGTGCGAGAGAGTGGGTGTGGTCGTGCCCGCGAGTCGCTCGCTGTCTCAAGCGAAGTTCCCCTTCCTCCACATCCACCCACATTCCACGCCAGCAAGACGGTCTCTGGCCGCAAGCTCTGGGCGGAAGCACGTGCAAGATCAGCCAAACGGTGAACGAGATCGCAGTGCGCTCGGTGAGATGGATGACCTCCTTGCTTCCGCCTCTTCGGTCGAGGATGGCACTAAACACGCTGTGCGCCAGATGTGCTTGGACACGCGAGCGATGCCTGCCAGTAGGCGTCAAACAGGGCCTCGGCCTGGGCGTAGAGCGAGGACTCGGGGCCGGATAGCGGTGGACCGGCGGCACCGATCCGGTCGACGTCCGGCCTGGCGGCGGCCATGTTGGCGGTGACAACAAAGGACTCGACATTGGGGATGGAGGCCCGAGGTGGGGAGGTTGATGAAGCCGATGATTGTTGCCTGGGCAAAGAGGTACAGCTTGGTGTGGGGCGTGTCGCCCGGCCAAAACCGTGCTCTGACCCGATTCTTGCCAAATTCACGAATGAGCAGGTTGATCTTGCTTGTGGCCTTGCCTGGCGGGTTCTGTTTCTCGTCGGCCACCACCCGCAACACCAGGCTGTTGGTGGTCGCCATCGCCGCCCGCACTACCTCGTCCACGGCTGTGTCCGAGAACTTGTACACTACCTACCGCATATCCTCCCCACTCGTGGCTTGGCCAACCAGCTGCGAGAGCGCATCAAAGCCCGAGATGTCGATCGTCTAGTATAGTCGTATTCCGCCGTGCCCCTACGTCAGCAATCCGTCCAAGAACTTGTCCGATCTGGCCAACGACCGCCACGCTGCCCGTCCGCTGTTGCTGCTACTGCTGCCGCCGGCGCCGTCTAGTGAGTCACCGACACTTGCTGCCGCGGCGACTGCCGCGATCGCGACTATGAGCGCCACCCCCATCATCACACTGAGAGATGCAGCCATGGTCGGTGTGGGAGAGTGAGATGTACGCGGCGGAGAGGGGAGAGAGGGAGACGGCCAAGAAGACAGCAGGTTGGACAATGATTTGTTACGAAGGCTAGGATGGTTGGTGTGTATGGTGTGGTGTGGTGGTGTGGACGGAGATCAGTCGTCGCCAAGCACAGTGACAGCAGTGTCGATGTTGAGCGGCGGGTACATGGCCTTGACCGGCTGGTCGAGGATGTGGTTGCCGGTCCGCTTGGCGAAGACCATGATCTTGTAGAGCGAGATGATGTCCCACTCGGCCTGCGAGGCATGGGCGGGCAGCATGCGGTTGTACTTGGCCTTCATCTTGTACTTGTCGTACATCTTGGAAAAGTTGGCCGAGAAGACGAGCTGGAGGTCAAACTCAGCAGCAACGGCCTGCAGCTTGGCGGTGGGAACAACAAACTCGGGGCAGTCGACCAGGTCGCCGAGGGCAAAGTCGTAACCGAGGCCAAAGTCGAGGTCCTTGTCCGAGGCGGGCAGCGGCGCGTGCATGCGGAGCGAAAAGTGCTCGTTGCTGAGAGTCATTTTGTCGGGCGACTTTGCGAGCCGCGACCGAAGCGCAGCCTCGTCGACGGTTGTGGCAACAAAGTGGGCGCCCGGCTTGAGAAAGGCGGCAATGTTCCAAAGCATCATGCGCGCGTGCGCCTCCGAGCCACATCCGTAGTGCAGCGCAAACTGGCACGAGGCCAGGTCAAAGCCTGCCCCGCCGGTGGCCACAGGTCCGATATGCTTCCAGATCGGGACCCGGGTCGCGTCAGCAGCCACAAACCGCGCCACAAACCGGCGCTCCTTCATCCCGTTATACCGCGAGACTGCCTCGTTCACGGCGCCGCGCGCAATGTCGACGCCGACCCACTCGCGCACACCGAGCTTGGCCCACTTGAACAGGTCGCCACCCTTGCCGCACGCCATGTCCAGGACCCGGAAGCCTGGCTTGCGACAAAAGTCGCCCAGCAGGTTGGCCTTCATAAAGTTGTTCACCGCCCGCAGCGCAATGAGTGGCGACGACTGGCGAGCCGCTAGCGTCGCTCCAGCCGCCACCGAGTCGTAGTGCGCCGCCACCCGCGAGCCGGGCGTCCGCCGCGACGTCGAGCCCGGTGGCGGCGGCGACGCCGCCTCGGTCGACCACGTCGAGCTCCGCGGCCGCTGCGGCGAGTCCCACTCGAGCGCCACAGACGGCGTCACAGAGGTCTCGGGCGAAAACCCGGCCGGGCGCCCGGGCGCTCCGCTCATACCCACCATGCTTCCGCCGGCTGCGCTCCCGCCAGGCCCGCGCGGGAGCAGCGACGTCGACGCCGGTCCCGCCATACGCGCCGGCGGCGCTGCAGAATCACCCGCAGCCCCGCCGACGCTCGCGCTCGTGCTTGCGCTCGCCATTCCGCCATACAGCAGCTTGGCCCGCTTACTCTCGCTCTCGCCCTCTGTACCCGGAGCCACAGCTCCGGCATTTCCGCCAGCGCCCGGAGCACCAGTCAAGGCCTCCGAGTCCCGCTTGCGCTTCAGCGAGCCCGGGGCGCTCGCCGTCCCGCACCCGCCCGGGCCGCTCTCGCCCTCGCCACGGGCCACATCCATGGTGCCCACGCTCAAAGGACGGCCCACATCAGCCGCTGTCGCCCCACACCCGCAGCCGTCGCCCACGCACCGTCCACACCACCCGCAGAAGCACCACCCAAGCCACCCGCACCCGTGCGCCCGTGCGGGAGAACAGCAAGTCGCCATCACAACCGCACCATCCGGCGCCGCGGCAGGGGGGGGGCAAACCACGCCGAGGAGAGCGCCGAGGAGCGGGGAAAGGGCCCAAAGTACCGGGCAACATCAATGCCACCCCCACAATCGCATGTGCACGCGCCGCGGACCAATATTCCCGCCAGCAGAGGACGGCATAGGCCGCGGGTCGCGGCAGGGAGAAGGCGACCAGCCGCCAGTTTCGCGCCGAGCGTTCCGAGTCGCATTGGAAGGCGGGCAAAAAAAACAGCGACAGGCAGCGGCAGAGGTCACACCAACCACGCATGTTCCAGAGCAAGGAGACAGGGAATATGTGAGCCAAGGAGGTGCATGGTGTGTGCTTCTACTCCGTGGCAACGTGTTTGTGAAGTCCGGGGGCGGACAAGGGGAGCTGCAAAGGAAGGGGAGGCGGAGGGAGGGGGGGGGGGGGAGGAGACCCGCTACGATCACGATCATGATCACAACCCGTCCGCTCCACACACACACTCTCTCTCGCTCTCACTCTCTCTCACTCTCGCTCTCTCACCCGTGCGCCGTACCCGAAGAGCCGACGACCTCCATGATGTGGACGCTCTTTTTTCTTCCTTACCACGTCCAGAAACGACGACGGCTTTCCGGACGAGCAAAGGAGTAACTCGTACCCAACTTCTGTAGCTTCCTTCTCGAGTAAACGAGCAAGGAAGGTGTGAGCGGTCGGATCGAGAGAGTGAGGTGAAAGGCACTACGATTGGCAAACGTTAACGATAATTGCAAGAGCCAAACGCCAAGCCGACGATTAATTTCGAACAAACGGATCGAATGCTTCGATGCACCCAAAACACTCTCTCGCTTGCCGGCCGAGCGGTCGCTCCGCTGGCTATACTGCTTGGGATCGTATCTCCTTGCTTTCACTACACTGGCGTTCAGTGCCAGCACATTGTGCCGATTGGCACGGTTATCCGTGTGTACATGAGCTGCAGCCGTGTGCTCGCGTACACACGACATCAGCGTGCGATTTGGGCACCCAGAGCGCGCCCCGTCATCATCGTCGTAGTCGTTGCGCATCGTTACCTCATGGGAGGGAGGGTGGCTTCCCGCTCCTCTGGAGCCGACTGTGTTGACGCCATTGGAGCTCTCAGCAAAGTAAGGTGCCAGCTACCTTGCTTTGCTCAGGCGGCTACGAGTTACCCGTTCAATACCGCATCGATAGTCTGTGTCGATTGTCCGTGGCCACCTACCGCCATTGAAAGAGGGCCATGATTGCTTTGGTCGATTCCTCGCATCGCTCGGCGGCTACGATTGTCCACTATGATAGCTATGAGTGAGCCCCATCGATTCCTCTGGTACGATTATTATTGGCTAACAACGATTATTAATGGGTACGATGAACAGCATTGCCAACGCGACACGGCCGCACTCACCGCCGACCATCAACAAGCTCATTCTCGACATCAAGCGCTCTGCTGCCGCGCACGCTTACATCGTACCATCTCATCATGAGCCACAACCCTCTTCCGATGGGCCAGACCCTCTCTCCCTCCCATCACCCCCTTCCCCCCCCCCCCCCCCCCTCCTCCCCCCGAGCCCCGCCCAAGGACGGAATAGCTCGTCTGCCACTGCTCTCCCTCCACCGCCCATGCTCCGACTGTATGGATGGAGAAGCCGGCTCAGCTGGCTGCGGCACTCGGTGCTCGCGCAGCAGTGGGCAGCTGGTCGTCAAAGCGCTGTACATCATCAGGTGGTGCTCTCGTTCTCCACAGCAGTTGGCAGACGAGCAGCTGCTACCGACGCAGGCGGTGAGGTCGAGCTCGGAGCGCAGGCTCAGGCCGAGGCCCATGAGAGCGATGGCGATATTGTTCGCTGTGTCTCCGAGGTGGGCGTGGCCGGCGATCGCGCGGTGTGGCGGAACGATGACTTGGGCCGGCCGGTCGAACTGGATGGTCTCCCCACTGATGTCACGGTGGTGCGGACGCCCGACGAGGCGGCCGAGCTGGCGGCGGCGCTCATCGAGCTATCACGGGCTCATCCGGAGCGGATGTTTGCATGCGATGTCGAGTCGGTGATGTCGGCTGACGAGGCGGTCGACGGTGACGGCGAGGGTAAGGGCGAGGCCGGGCAAGGCGCGACGGGTGTTCGGAGCGCGCCATCGCTGGCCAAGACCTCGCCGTACCTCGCCGGGCGAGTCATCTGCCTCTCTGTCTACGCAGGGCGCGATTTTGACTTTGGAGCAGGCTCGCGGCTGTGGATCGACAACCTCGATGAGGCCTCAGGCTGCCTTGAGGCCTTTGCGCCGTTTCTGGAGGCGCCCGAGGTGCCCAAGGTCTGGCACAACTACTCGTTTGACAAGGCGCAACTGATGCGGCACGGCATTGCCGTGGACGGGCTCGGTGGTGACACGCTGCACATGGCGCGGCTGTGGAACTCATCGCGCAAGCTTCGCGGGTACTCGTTGGCAGCGCTGTCGGAGGACTTGCTGGCGGCGCCCAAGGTGAGCATCAAGGACAGCTTTGGCATGCGCAAGATCAAGGCCAACGGCGAGCCTGGCAAGCAGATTGTGGTGCCCGAGCTGGACGCCGTGCAGCGATCAGCGCGGCTGGTGAGCAAGTGGATCCACTACTCGACGTACGACACGCAGGCGACGCACGAGCTCTACCTCGAGCTAGCGTCTCTGCTGGCCGCGACGCCGTGGCGGCCCAACACCATGACGCTGCCGGCCGGCTTTGAGCCGCGATCGGCCACCATGCTCGACTTCTACAACGCCGTCTGGAGGCCGTTTGGCGCCCTGCTGACCAACATGGAGGCGCGCGGCATCCGGGTCGATGCGAGTCAGCTGGCGGCGTCCGAGGCCATTGCCATCAACGACCGCGACGCCCACGAGCGTGCCTTCCTCGACTGGGCCGATGCTGTCTCCCCTGGCGCGCGGCGGATGAACATTGCGTCGCAGCTGCAGAAGACGCAGCTGCTCTTTGCGCCGTGCGCCAACGCCAAGACCAAGGAGAAGCTCCCGCGCGAGCGCGCGTTCAAGATCCTCAACACCGAGGGTATCATTCTGGAAGGCAAGAAGAAGCCGCTCAAGCACCGCGAGCTCGCCATCGCCGGCCTCGGCATGAGCCCGCTCGAGACGACCGACGCCGGCTGGCCGTCGGTCTCGTCGGCCGTCGTCTCGGCGCTCGCCGGCAAGATTGTCGATCCTACTCTCGACGATGCGAGCGTCAACAGCTACGGCGCGGCGTACGAGCAGGTCGAAGCCGCAGCCGGCGCCACCGGCGAGGAGCGACCGTTTGCGGCGTCGGCGACGCCCGGGCACGACGCGTGCGTCGCTCTAGACGCGCTCGCCAACGTCACGGCCATCGACACGCTGCTCTCCAACTTTATCATCCCGCTCCAGACCATGACTGACGACGCGTCGCGGATCCACTGCTCACTCAATCTCAACACCGAGACCGGGCGGCTCTCTGCACGCAACCCGAACCTGCAGAACCAGCCTGCGCTCGAGAAGGATCGGTATCGGGTCCGCGACGCGTTTCGGGTCCCGCCCTCGCGCACGCTCATTGTGGCTGACTACGGGCAGCTCGAGCTGCGGCTCCTGGCGCACATGGCGTCGTGCGAGTCGATGATTGCGGCCTTTGAGCTCGGTGGCGACTTTCACTCGCGGACGGCGCTCGGCATGTACGGGCACATCCAGGAGGCGCTCGACTCGGGCGAGGTGCTGATGGAGTGGGACTCGTCGGACGGGGCGGCGGCGCCCAAGCCGCTGGTCAAGGACGTCTTTGCCTCTGAGCGGCGCAAGGCCAAAGTGCTCAACTTTTCCATCGCCTACGGCAAGACGCCGATCGGCCTCGCAAAGGACTTTGACGTCACCGTCGACGAGGCGCAGCAGACGCTCGACCTGTGGTATGCCGACCGACCCGAGGTGCGGGCGTGGCAGGAGGCGACGATCGAGGAGGCCACCCAGTGCGGGTACACCACGACGCTCATGGGCCGGCGCCGCTACCTGCCGGCGCTGCGGTCGAGCAAGCCGTTTGCGCGCGGCCACGCGGCGCGCGCCGCCATCAACACACCCATCCAGGGCGGCGCCGCCGACATTGTCACAGCCGCCATGCTCCGCATCGAGGCCTCGCCCAAGCTCACCCACCTCGGCTACGAGCTCCTTCTGCAAGTCCATGACGAGGTCATCCTCGAGGGCCCGGCCGAGGCCGCCGACGAGGCGCTCGCCGAGGTTGTGGCCCTCATGGAGGATCCGTTCGGCGTCCCGCTCAAGGTTCGGCTTGAGGTCGATGCCAAGCACGCGCAGACGTGGTATGAGGCCAAGTGAGGATGGTGCGTGTTTGGAGGTGTACAGACAGAGTTTGTTAAAGAGATAACTTACCCGCCGCGCTGCATGCGGCGCATCTCCTCCTCGGAGGGAGGTGGGGTAAGCTGGATGATGTCGTCGACGCGGAGGATGGTGGCGGCGGCCTCGGCGGCAAACTTGATGGCCTTGACCTTGGCCATGGCGGGCTCGACGACGCCGGCGGCCATGTTGTCGCGGACGGCACCGGTCTTGAGGTCGAGGCCGGTGTGGGCGAGGGCGGGGTTGCCGCCGGCAGCCTGAGCCTCCGAGTGGGCGGCGCGGAGCTGGGCGACGAGCTCCATCGAGTCCTTGGCGGCGTTGATGGCGAGGGTCTTGGGGATGACGAGGAGGGCCTCGGCAAAGCAGGCGATGGCGACCTGCTCGCGCGACGAGATCGAGGTGGCGTACTTCTCGAGGTAGACCGAGAGGGCGGTCTCGACGGCGCCGCCACCAGGCACAACACGCTTGGACTCGAGGACGCGCTTGATGACGCAGAGGGCGTCGTGGACTGAGCGGTGCATCTCGTCGAGCATAAACTCGTTGGCGCCGCGGAGGACGATGGATGCGGCCTTGGTGAAGAGCGGGTCGCGGATGACCATCATCTCGTTGTCCGACACGCGCTCCATCTCGACAATGCCGGCCTGGCCAAGGTCGTTCGGGTCAAAGGTCTCGGAGCCCTCGAGGTCGCCCATGGAGAGGATGACCGAGCCGCCGGTGGCCTTGGCAATGCGCTTGAGGTCGACCTTGGAGCAGCGGCGGACGGCCATGGCGCCAGCCTCCACAAAGTACTTGAGGCAGAGGTCGTCGATGCCGCCCGTGGTGAGGATGACGTTAGCGCCGGCCGCCAGGATCTTCTGGATACGCTCCTTGGTAATGTCGGCCTCACGCGTCTGCATGGCCGTCATCTCCTCCGGGTCCGAGATGAGGACCTGGACCTGGAGGCCGAGGCGCACCTTCTGGAGGTTAAAGTCCAGGAGAGCAATCTTGGCGTCGGTCACCCGCTTGGGCATCGCCTCCGAGCCGAGCCGCACGTTGAGGGCGTAGCCGTTGACCCGGAACGATTCGCGCGACGACTTGCCGTGCGCCTTGAGAATGTTGACCGCAGCCACCGGGTACTTGCCGTACTCGTTGCCCACCGCCATCATCGAGTCGATGCACATGCGGGCGAAAAAGTCCGAGTCGTTGCCGATGATCTTGGACGACATCGAGGTCTTGGCCGCGTTGAGCAGGCCGTCCTCGCCCATGGCGTCTACGTCAGACTGAAGCACGTCCTCGATGTACTTGACTGCCGCCCGTGTCGCGAGGCGGAAGCCCGAGATGATGGTCGTGGCATGAATCTTGGACTTGATGAGCTCGTTGGCCCGCTCGAGGAGCTCGGAGGCGAGAATAACCACAGACGTCGTTCCGTCTCCGACCTCAGCATCCTGCAGACCAGCCAGCTCGACGAGCACACGCCCCGCCGGCTCCTTCACGTCAAGGCACTGAAGAATGGTGGCGCCATCGTTGGTGATGGTCACCTCACCAATCTGGTCCACAAGCATCTTGTCGAGCCCAGTCGGGCCAAGCGACGACCGGACCACGTTGGCCACAGCCTTGACCGCCAGCACTACGCACACACCAAGATCATAGTTAGCAAGATGCCCATCCCCTCTCTCGCTCTAGCTCTCCCTATGCCTCTTCCCTTCCCTCTCCCCCCCCCCCCCCCCCCCCCCACCGTCCCTCCTCTTCGCCAGCCAGCCTCGGCTCGTCGGTGGATGGGCCGCCGGCGCGCGCCCGCCCGACGGCGACCCGCGGGACGGTGGGGGGGGCAGGGGGAGCAAGTTTTGGCGGGCAGTCTCCGAGACGGCATGGGAGGAAGCAAGGATTTGAGCAGAGTGGACAAGGAGGTTCGCCTCGAGTGACACAGAGAGCATGGGCATGACCTTGTTGCACAAGGTGTACCACGGCCATAATGGTGGAGGGGGTGGCGTGGGGGAGGGAGGAAGGGGCAATTTTTGCGGGATTCTACGTAGAGGCGCCAAGACTCTCGCCCCTCTCCTCGCCGAACAACAGGCATTCTCACTCTCTAACATATACCATACCGTTCTGGGAACGAACATCTGCGCCCTTGGTCCGCTTGCCAGCAAGTGCGAGGGTTCCCTGAGACTCCATGACTGATTTCTCTGGCGTCGGGTGTGGGACCCGAGCCGGTCTCTCGACCACCACTCTCGCCCACCCGTCTTCCCCTCCCTTTTCCCCACCGACCATGAATTGAATGGGAAGTTTCCGATGGTGGGGCGGGGGCGGGGGGGGGGTGGGGGGGGAGGGGTGGGGTAGGGGTAGGTAGGGAGGGAGGGTAGGGGGGGGTAGGGGGGTAGGGGGGGTAGGGGGGGTAGGGGGGGTAGGGGGGTAGGGGGGTAGGGGTAGGTACGGG